GGGCGTGGCACACGGGAGGAGCGGATGAGCGGGGCATGACATACTGCACTTTTAATCAGATTTTTTAGGTTCTAAGCAATTTTTAAAAGCTTTTTTCGTTTCCATTTTGCTTTTTTTTGTCTTGGTTTAACTTTTTAAAATCTTGTTTTTATAAAGCACATTAAATAACCGCTGTGTATTATTATGATAAACTTGTCTTGCCTTGCCATAAGAGAAACGTTCTCCTCAAGACCACAAGAACAACTAAAAACTATATACTAGAAACTAAGACACTCATAAGATAACTCCATGAAAGGCTCTGTAAAACTAGAAATGTGTTTACTGTAAGACAACGTATGCTAACTGGCTAGTAGTTGCCTTAACACTGAAAAAAATAATTTTGCAGCCATACCCTTTTGTGCGCTTTCAATCGACAGTCTCAGAAATCAGCTACCCTGCCTTGAATCTCTGACGTAATTTCCTGTTTTAATTACAAAACGAGCAGAAAATTGCGAAGCGCGCACGGATTTCAGAAGCGAGCAGAAAACTAAGAAGCGCGCGAGAAACGGTGAATCGAGCGCGAGGCTGCGAGAAGCGAACGCGAAACGGTGAATCAAGCGCGAGGCTGCGAGAAGCGAGCGCTCTTATCTGCGTTCCAAAGGCGCAGTGCGCGCTCGTAGTGTCTGTTTTGCTCGGTTTATCTATGCGTCTGCGCTCTCGTATATTTGGCAGTGATCTCACTCCATAACCAACTTTATGGCTATCTGAAATAGCAGGGGTAGGCAACCCTGCTAAAGTGCCAGCATCCAGCAGATTTTCCATCCTACCAGGTCTCTAGTGAACCACACCTGATGTCAGAGATTAACTCATCAGGTGGGATAGAAAACCTGCTGGATACCGGCACTCCAGGATCAGGGTTGCCTACCCCTTTCATATAGCAATAGTATGTTATGATCATTATCACTGTCATTATGCTTCCATTATGTCATTTTGCTATTTCTCTAATTCTTTGCTGTTACAACCTATGGAGGGCTAAGAGTGCCAAAATTAAATAAATAAATACACCAATAATTAATTAATTAAATGTGCCATGAATTGTTTAAAATGGGAAATAAAAATATCGTTAATTAAATGTGCCATGAATTATTATCTACCATTAGAAATAAAATCATTATTAATTAATTACATGTGTCTTTTACAATTATTTCACTATTTATTTAATTTTGGCACTTTCACCACTCCATAACAACCCCCCCCTTCAGAAGTGTATTATTAGTGTTTTGGAGGCCAAGGTGAGGGGGGCGGCAAAGGACAATAACAGGAGGCTTAATATTAATATCTTGAACATAATTGAA